CACTCTTTCAAACATGTGCATTTACCTTAGTGGTCCACAGAGAGTGAGGCCAAAAAACCATAAGAGTGAAATGATACAGCCAGCAACCGCATGTTTAACAATTCTGATCCACTATAAAAGAAAAAGATTTTATTAATACAGAAATCAGCAAAATTCTTTTTAAGCATACCCTATTCTGCTTAGGTTTTGGGAAAAAATGATATTGGTCCGTTCTTATTATTTTCTGTTACAGAAGTAGGCTGTCTGGTTGCAGTCCGAATACCTTAAAAATATCTGAGATACAGTTTTTGGGCTATTAAAATTAGACTGAATGAGCTCAAATCTACTTGGTGGTTCAAAAATGCTATTTTAAAATGTACTGCAAAATAAAATGCCTCTTGGAAGCACATATAGTGCTAGATAAAACCAATCAAAATTAGGAGCCCAAACTCCACATGTTTATGCATTTGCTTAATTTCATCCCAGTGGTTAATCTTACTGAAACCAACTTGGACTCAGATGGCAATCTGAGTCCTACTTGGACTGAAGCATATAGTCAAGTTCTAGGAGGACTGAAGCCTCAGTCCCTCAGGAGAAGCAGGTAATTTTTATTAAAGAAAAATATTTAGATTGAAAAAAAAATCTAAATATTAAAACAAGCTAAATTACTTGATAAGATTTATTTTTCTAAACAAATAATTTCAGTTATTCTATAACAAAAAAAATCTTAAAAATCTAAAATGTAAGCATTAAAAGTTTTAACTAAAACCCTCAGATTCTCTGAGAATGATAAAAAGGACCAAAAACCCTTCAAATACAAAGTCTGTTCCTCCTCCTACCTTCTTTGACATATTGCCATGGGCTTTCAGACTAGAACAAATTAACATTTTAAACACTTATGAAAAAATCATTCAGATTCTCACCACTGAGCACATTCATAGTTACTAACAGGAACTGACTATACCATTAAGAATCACTTTATACATAATATAAGGCAGGTGTAGGCGTAGTGTAGTGATGAAAACCTCTCTCAGAGGCCTCATCTGCACTGTGGGTATGCCTACAAGAAGGCAGCAGTGGGTCCTGGCCAGACTGGCCTCTAGCAAGCCCTGCCCATCCACTCCTGTGGACGTGCTCCAAACACCTTTCTGGGTTATCTCCAACAGCTGCTCTTGGGAACACCAGACAGAGGTCTTGAGAACAGCCAGAGAGGGATGCCCCTGGATGTCTTAACTGAGTATGGGACAGGCATGTGCTGGGGGTGTGTGGGTGGGGCATGGTTGAGACCTTCCTGGTCAGGTCATGTTGCCGCTGTAATGTGGATGCGCCCTGGGAAAAAAATAGAACACAGGGCTAAAAAGATGACTGACTGTACCATTCCCATCATACTGTGGCTAACATAAGGTTGGCTTGGCCTCAAACACTGCTCACTGCCACAGGAAATGTTGTATTCCACTGACAGTACTTTAGAATGACAGGGAAAATAAAGTATAACGTAGTATACAGCAAGGGTGTCAAAAGATATAGCCCATGAGCTAGAATCAGTGCACAGGGCCCTATAGCTCGGCCCCCAGAGATGCCCAAGTGCCTTGGAGTTGACCCATGTGCCATATGTGGTGTATGCTGGTTTGGCCCTACAGACAGCATCCACTTTGGCTGGTCCCAGCCATATGCCATTCACTCCAGGCAGCCTGGGACACATGCTGCATGAAGCACCTACTTCGGCATGTGCGCTGCATGTGATGCACGTGTGGGGCCAGTCTGGGATGCACACCACAAGTGGCATCCACTCCAGCCAGTCTGGGATGGACACTGTATTCAGCACGTGGGGCTGGTCTGTGGCCCTGATCCAACCCGCGTGACCAACTCCACACTACTCATTTGGCCCGGAGCCCAGGGGAGCCCAGTGAGTTTGACAAATCTAATCTACTAAAAATGAGTGCACCAGCATTATGTAAACTCACCTGGTGCTTGGTTACAGTTTTTCCTGTAGAAAATGGCTTTTGAAAGAAAACCATAAAAAACGCAGACCTATTAAAAGGGGGGAAATTTCTCCATTAGAGTATTAGCTAAAATGCTATTATAGCCACAAAGTTTAAACATAGCAATTTTAATTTTATATCTGTTCTAAACAATCACATCCCTCCCTCCCCATACAATACTCATCTTAAAGAATAATTACAGTTGTGTTTTAAAATGGAATTCTACTCCCCTTTCTCCAGAAGTAAAAAATACTGTAAGCTACGCAATTTGCTTCTGTCCCCTGTACCTTACTCCAAAAATTAAGAGAGTCAAAGGGTTTAGGCCAGAGATGAAATTCAGTTGCCTCAAATGCTTGCTTTGCCATTAACCCCCTCCCAAAGCTGTCACGGGATACTCAACAGGTTACTCTGAATACACAAACAAGTACAAAACTTTAGAGCTGCAGAGAAATTTAATAGGTAGCAGCGAGATGACAATTTTTTTGCTCATTTGTAAAAGCGTTCATTGCTGAAAGGCTGCTGATAAGCCTGGATGCCCCTCTGCCTATGCCAGGGGCTGACTGGGAACTGAAACTCCCCAGCACCACCTTCCCCAGCTATCAAATGAAAGCTAGCAGGGCTGTTCCCAAACGCCATAACCAGGGGTCTACTTAAAAGACAGTTTTGCAGATTTTGTGGAAACCATGAAATCCAGGATTGTCCATGAAATTGAGAACAAAAAAACCCCAACTTAATAAAAGAACCTGCTGGCTCCTCAATGGGAGCCAAGAGTCCCTGCTGCCACTGCAGACCAGTTTTGCAGCCTGCCTGGGAGGGAAGGCACTGGTATGGCAGGTCGAAGAGCAGCAACAAAGATGGGCACTGCCTCTTTGTCCCTCCTCCCCTCCCTCTGGGCCTCTCTGCACAGTGCCACAGAAGCACATCCACAAAATGTCTGCAGAATTTGCTCTTTATGCCATGACCAATCTGCAAAAATTGGCTATTTAGGTAGACCCCCCCAGCCATATCCATTCCTGAGCGATGCCTCTGGAAATGTAAATACAAGGGCGCTGGTAGGCTAGATCTGCTGCAAGCAACGTCGCTCAGCTGGCTGACGCACTGCCCTCCCGCCAAGTGGCCAACCAAGCTATTCAGCTGACAGCAGGCGGGTGAAGGGAGGGTCTCGAGCAGAACGCACCAGGCATGGCCCACCTGCCTCTCAGACAGGAGGGCGGCGCTGCAGGCTTCTGGGCACTGCCATGAGAAAGGGCCCACACCCACCACTCTTGGGACAGTCCTGGTGGCAGCGCCATGCTCCAGCTGCCAGTGAGCGCAACTCTGGTCACTGTATCGCTGCACTGGAAGCAGCACCTGCCAGACTCAAGTGAAGTGATCGCAGAGCTTGTTGCAGCCTCATGTTTCCCAATGTCGCAGCCGCCACCCTGTGCACCTCCCCCTCCCCGCGATTCTTCTAAGGCAACAAATGGCCTGCGCCAACCAGGGCTGGGCCTGCCGCCACCCCGCGCCTCGCCCGTGCTCACCCGAGCTGGACGACGAAGAGGAAGGGCCCGAGGTGCACCGCCTGCAGTAGGTCGTACGACTCAAACAGCCCCAGCGCCTTCAGGAACTTGGCGGCATAGAGCAGCACCATGTAGCGCGGCAGCCTGCGGGCGGAGGGGGCGCGTGAGCCCAGGCACTGCCATGCCCAGCCCCTGCCCCGGCCTCTCCCATCGTCCCCCCGCGGTCAGCGGGGTCGTCCAATGTCCTCGGCCTG